AGCGCAGATCCAAGGAATCCGCGCGGAGCGCCACAAGTTTATGTGTATGGCGTTATTTCGTTGTTTTTCCTTCCTCTAAGAGTGTGTCGCCGCGCCGTTTGTTCCGACGCGCGGCCTTGCGCCTTGGGGAGGTGCCGCGGGCAGCAGGGCAGACGCCGCCTCGAGCACGGTGGGTTCGCCGTGGGTTTGCTGCGGTGCCGTCTATCCAAGAAAATTGCGCGGCGACGCATCGCGGCGACATAATTACCAGACCCTGTTCCATCGCGAGGTCGCACTTATTTTCCCCCCACTCACCCGTCCTTTGGCTTTCCATCGCTTCTGTCTCCACGGTCGTCCACATGAAAACGCAACCGAATACAGCCCCAGCCGGTCCTCTTTATCGACCCTCCTCCCTCATCCTCGTGAAGTTAGTGTTAAGTCGGGCGTGTCCCTCTACAGGAGGAATATTCAAAAAAAGTTGTAAACATTAGTCTGCGGGCGATGTTTTGAATGTTTTTGACTATTATTGAATATTGTTTGACTGTTGTTTTCCTCCTAGATCCGCCTGTAGAGAAACATGTCTGACCTAAAGTTAGCGGATGTGGAGCACTCACTTTGATCTTGCAAGTGGATGCTGAATTAACCCCCATCAAACGGTACCATCCAGGCCACACGCCCGCGCACGAATCTGAAGCATTACGAACAATGTGTGTTCCACATATCTGTGAACAACAGCTATGGTCATGTTGCTCCCATCGTACTAAGGACCACATCCCATAAGTAATTTCGAACGCCCAGAAAAGTGTCGAGACAGTGTCGAACGAGTATCGCCCTCGCAGGGCCCGACACATGAAGCATTCTAATTTCGGTATTTTCCTGGTGCTCGATGTTTTCTGTTGATCAGGATGAAAGTAGGCTGGAACATCATGAGGCTATGGCAATAACCTGCTGCCAATGGAGACTTGCAGGTTGTCTGTGCGAGCATTCGTTGAAGTGACCTGGTAACCATATGCGATGCGCCCCTCTGATGGGCGAGAGGGGACGGGCAGAACGCGCGCGCGCGTGCCGAAACCTTTCGGCAGCCCTGCCGCAGTCGTCGGCTCCGTCAAAGTTACGAAGCGCAGGCCACACGCGCGTGTCCCCAAGCGCGCAGGGCGAAGCCGTTGCCACACCGGTCGCCTTCTAAGCATTTCACGAGGTGTTCAAAACATCTGAAAACGGATGGCTCCCTAACTCGAATCATGAGATCGGCAGCATCGTCATCATTATAGCCAGCGTCATCGTCATCTTCACCATCTCCACCACCATCTCCAACGTCCTCGTCATCCTCACCACCGTCGTCATCCTCGCCGTAACCGTCACCGTCGTTGCCGTTGCCCTCGTCATCATCGCCACCGCTGCGATGCGTGGCCCGCAGTGAGTTGCACCCAACAGGTTGCACCACAGATAGTGCACCTCAGAGCTTGCGCCGCACAGCTTGCACCACAAAGCCTCCACCACAGACGTTGCCTCCCATACGTTGCACTCAACCGGTTGCACCACACAGCTCGCACCCATAGGATACACAGGACACTGAGCATCCAGGGCTCCGCCCCCCCCCACCCCCAGTGCTGCCGGGATCGGCCCACCGCCCCCCGCTCCCTGACCGGACGGGTACGCCCGTGAGTCCCGCGCAGGCCTTGCGAATGGGATCGCCCCCCCCCCCCCCGCCCCCCCCCACTTGTGGTCGTGGCCCTGTGGGCGTGGCGCCGTCGACGCCGTCGTCGTCGCACCCCATCCCAACTGGGGGGGAGCCGCGAAACCCTTGGACCCGTCCCATCTGGGGGGGGGGGGGGGGTGAACCCTCGAATGGGCCTCATAGTCACACACACACACGCATGCTTGTGTATACATGTATATTTGTATATACACATCAACTTATACCGGGGTAGGCCGGGGGCGAGCCTGGAACCACGGCCCTGGCGTGGCATGGGGGCCCCGGGCCGCCTAAGGGCTCCCGGGGGGCGGGGCCCCGAGAATTCTCGGGCGGCTCCAGAGGCCGCCAGGAAAGGCTCGAGACCATTCCGTCACCCTTTTGGCTCAAAGTCAAGCCCGAAACCGTCTGAGCATAGTCGATCCGTCGGGACAGCCCCTCTCTTACATTACATCCCCTCGACCTTAGATTCCACGCATCATTCTCTGACTCCTTTGTGCGCAGCGAAGTTGGCCATGTTGCAAACCCTCGTCGCGTTCCTATTCATTTCGAGCGCTAGTTGTCTTCTGCGTGGCCGTCAGCGCGAGCGTGCCACGAATCATACCCTCCAGGAGTGCAAATAGAAGACCCAACAGTGGATCACAGAGGTCGACCGTCGGCGCCTCAAAGGGCCAGTTTTCTTTTTTCATGTCAACCATCACAACGGAAGGAATATTGCAGAACATGCTCGAGTACTAGGGGGATACCATGTAAGATTTTTCGGACGATGGGGTGATGTTGATTCTTTTAAGAGTGGGGTACGGACACAGTTACCCGAAGGATATGACATGTTTCAGGACAAATCTTGGACTGACCTCGAGGACTCTTTCGACGGGCACACTTTGGACGACCTTAACTGCGGCGGGACCAGAACGCCCCGGATTTTTGTCACGTCCGCAAGACACCCTGTTGAAAATTTGCTTACTCGCGAAGCTTATAACCAAGCAAACATCCATGAGTTCGGTCTGATGCAGTCTTGCGAATCTGATAACATTGCACTCCGAGTATTCGCAGGGAAGATTTGCCACAGCGAGTTTGCGAAATCATGCCCGAAGCTGACGCGTGCCGACCTGGAAATTGCCAAGGCCCGCGTGCGAAAAATGGATGCCATTTTCATCCTCGAACACTGGCCTTCCACGATTAAGCTTGCATGTTCGCGTCTTGGGTGGAGTAATTGCCAAACAAACGGGCTCGACATTCAATTTAATGAGACGTATGCTTCCGATATTTTGGACCAACTCGATGAGGAGTCCTGGAAGCAGCTCTTCAAGCGGAACGAGCTGGGCATTGAGTTCTACGAGTATATGAAGCAGCTGTCCTTCGATATGCTTAAGGAGGATGGGCTTCATGCGCCGACGGAACATGAGCAGAAACACGCCTTACCAGTGTTAAAGAGCCTGCAGGATGCAAAGGCGCTCGCAGTGCCTTCTCACAAGTGGAGGAACCTGAGCGCGAACAGGGTCTCCAGAAGTCTGACGCGCTGGCAATGCTGAGTGCTGGTTTCCGTTCAATCAATTTTTCAATGCGAAGCATTCGTTATAATTATAATATGTTTGGTTACGGCAGTTGATGTTAAGCACACTCGCGCCTAGGCGTGTCAGATTGCTGGGCCGTCTTGCAGGTGAGCTCCGCTTGCGGACAGCTCAGCATTTTATATCAGAAGCTGGTGTCTCGTGATCCTCTCTGTTCCGCCCTCCTCTCTCGTATCCCTTTTGATTTTTCAAGGAGGTCTGCAGGTGCTGACCGTTTTGCAGGTGCTGCGCAGGAGAAACAACATTCGCCTGACGAAGGACCCAACCATATGCAGCTGCGAGTGCCGCGAGGGAGATGAGACGAAGGAGGGGGGCGCGCAAACTCCGAGTAGCGCACGCGGCGTAGCCGTCTGCCACGAAGCGTGTGAAGGGTGTGCCGACATGAGTCGGGAGGATGCCTGCGAACGTCGCCATTGGGGCCTTCCGTGGAGCTTCCTGTGAAGCCACCAAACGTGCGAGGGATGTGCCGAAATTGGGCGGCGATGCCATGCGAACGTTCCCACTGGGGCCTTCGGTGGAGCTCCTCATGGGGCCACGAAGCGTGTGAGGGGGGTGCCGAAATGGGGCGGTGGTGCCACGGGACCGCTAAACGTGTGAGGGGTGTGCCGGAATCGGAAGGCGGTGCCATGCGAACTTGCCCACAAGGGCCTTCGGCGGAGCTCCCTGTGGGGCCACGAAACTTGTGAGGGGTGTGCCATGAATGGGGCGGCGGTGTCATGCTAACTTTCCCACTGGGGCCTTCGGTGGAGCTTCTTATGGGGCCACGAAGCGTGTGAGGGGTGTGCCGAAATGGGGCGGCGGTGCCATGCGAACTTTCCCACTGGGTTTTCGGTGGAGCTCCTTATGGGGCCACGAAGCGTTTGAGGGGTGTGCCGAAATGGGGCGGCGGTGCCATGCGAACTTTCCCACTGGGGCTTAGGTGGGGCTTCCTATGAGGCCACGAAGCGTGTGATGGGTGTGCCGGAATCGGAAGGCGGTGCCATGCGAACTTGCCCATAAGGGCCTTCGGTGGAGCTCCCTGTGGGGCCACGAAACGTGTGAGGGGTGTGCCGGAATGGGGCGGCGGTGCCATGCAAATTGTCCCACTGCGGCCTTCAGTGGGGCTTGCTATTGGGCCACGAAGCGTTTGAGGGGTGTGCCGAAATGGGGCGGCGGTGCCATGCGAACTTTCCCACTGGGGCTTAGGTGGGGCTCCCTATGAGGCCACGAAGCGTGTGATGGGTGTGCCGGAATCGGAAGGCGGTGCCATGCGAACTTGCCCATAAGGGCCTTCGGTGGAGCTCCCTGTGGGGCCACGAAACGTGTGAGGGGTGTGCCGAAACGGGGCGGCGGTGCCATGCAAATTTTCTTACTGGGGCCTTCGGTGGAGCTCCCTGTGGGGCCACGAAACGTGTGAAGGGGTGCGCCGAAATGGGGCGGCGGTGCCATGCGAATTTTCCCACTGGGGCCTTCGGTGGGGCTCGTTTTGGGACCGCGAAACGTGTGAGGGGTGTGGCGGGATCGGAAGGCGGTGCCATGCGAGCTTGCCCACAAGGGCCTTCGGTGGAGCTCCCTGTGGGGCCACGAAACGTGTGAGGGATGTGCCGAAATGGGGCGGCGGTGCCATGCGAACTTTCCCGCTGGGGCCTTCGGTGGAGTTCCTTATGGTGCCACGAAACGTGCGAGTGGTGCGCCGAAATGGGGCGGCGGTGCAATTGTGTATACATGTATATTTGTATATACACATCAACTTATACCGGGGTAGGCCGGGGGCGAGCCTGGAACCACGGCCCTGGCGTGGCATGGGGGCCCCGGGCCGCCTAAGGGCTCCCGGGGGGCGGGGCCCCGAGAATTCTCGGGCGGCTCCAGAGGCCGCCAGGAAAGGCTCGAGACCATTCCGTCACCCTTTTGGCTCAAAGTCAAGCCCGAAACCGTCTGAGCATAGTCGATCCGTCGGGACAGCCCCTCTCTTACATTACATCCCCTCGACTTTAGATTCCACGCATCATTCTCTGACTCCTTTGTGCGCAGCGAAGTTGGCCATGTTGCAAACCCTCGTCGCGTTCCTATTCATTTCGAGCGCTAGTTGTCTTCTGCGTGGCCGTCAGCGCGAGCGTGCCACGAATCATACCCTCCAGGAGTGCAAATGGAAGACCCAACAGTGGATCACAGAGGTCGACCGTCGACGCCTCAAAGGGCCAGTTTTCTTTTTTCATGTCAACCATCACAACGGAAGGAATATTGCAGAACATGCTCGAGTACTAGGGGGATACCATGTAAGATTTTTCGGACGATGGGGTGATGTTGATTCTTTTAAGAGTGGGGTACGGACACAGTTACCCGAAGGATATGACATGTTTCAGGACAAATCTTGGACTGACCTCGAGGACTCTTTCGACGGGCACACTTTGGACGACCTTAACTGCGGCGGGACCAGAACGCCCCGGATTTTTGTCACGTCCGCAAGACACCCTGTTGAAAATTTGCTTACTCGCGAAGCTTATAACCAAGCAAACATCCATGAGTTCGGTCTGATGCAGTCTTGCGAATCTGATAACATTGCACTCCGAGTATTCGCAGGGAAGATTTGCCACAGCGAGTTTGCGAAATCATGCCCGAAGCTGACGCGTGCCGACCTGGAAATTGCCAAGGCCCGCGTGCGAAAAATGGATGCCATTTTCATCCTCGAACACTGGCCTTCCACGATTAAGCTTGCATGTTCGCGTCTTGGGTGGAGTAATTGCCAAACAAACGGGCTCGACATTCAATTTAATGAGACGTATGCTTCCGATATTTTGGACCAACTCGATGAGGAGTCCTGGAAGCAGCTCTTCAAGCGGAACGAGCTGGGCATTGAGTTCTACGAGTATATGAAGCAGCTGTCCTTCGATATGCTTAAGGAGGATGGGCTTCATGCGCCGACGGAACATGAGCAGAAACACGCCTTACCAGTGTTAAAGAGCTTGCAGGATGCAAAGGCGCTCGCAGTGCCTTCTCACAAGTGGAGGAACCTGAGCGCGAACAGGGTCTCCAGAAGTCTGACGCGCTGGCAATGCTGAGTGCTGGTTTCCGTTCAATCAATTTTTCAATGCGAAGCATTCGTTATAATTATAATATGTTTGGTTACGGCAGTTGATGTTAAGCACACTCGCGCCTAGGCGTGTCAGATTGCTGGGCCGTCTTGCAGGTGAGCTCTGCTTGCGGACAGCTCAGCATTTTATATCAGAAGCTGGTGTCTCGTGATCCTCTCTGTTCCGCCCTCCTCTCTCGTATCCCTTTTGATTTTTCAAGGAGGTCTGCAGGTGCTGACCGTTTTGCAGGTGCTGCGCAGGAGAAACAACATTCGCCTGACGAAGGACCCAACCATATGCAGCTGCGAGTGCCGCGAGGGAGATGAGACGAAGGAGGGGGGCGCGCAAACTCCGAGTAGCGCACGCGGCGTAGCCGTCTGCCACGAAGCGTGTGAAGGGTGTGCCGACATGAGTCGGGAGGATGCCTGCGAACGTCGCCATTGGGGCCTTCCGTGGAGCTTCCTGTGAAGCCACCAAACGTGCGAGGGATGTGCCGAAATTGGGCGGCGATGCCATGCGAACGTTCCCACTGGGGCCTTCGGTGGAGCTCCTCATGGGGCCACGAAGCGTGTGAGGGGGGTGCCGAAATGGGGCGGTGGTGCCACGGGACCGCTAAACGTGTGAGGGGTCTGCCGGAATCGGAAGGCGGTGCCATGCGAACTTGCCCACAAGGGCCTTCGGCGGAGCTCCCTGTGGGGCCACGAAACTTGTGAGGGGTGTGCCATGAATGGGGCGGCGGTGTCATGCTAACTTTCCCACTGGGGCCTTCGGTGGAGCTTCTTATGGGGCCACGAAGCGTGTGAGGGGTGTGCCGAAATGGGGCGGCGGTGCCATGCGAACTTTCCCACTGGGTTTTCGGTGGAGCTCCTTATGGGGCCACGAAGCGTTTGAGGGGTGTGCCGAAATGGGGCGGCGGTGCCATGCGAACTTTCCCACTGGGGCTTAGGTGGGGCTCCCTATGAGGCCACGAAGCGTGTGATGGGTGTGCCGGAATCGGAAGGCGGTGCCATGCGAACTTGCCCATAAGGGCCTTCGGTGGAGCTCCCTGTGGGGCCACGAAACGTGTGAGGGGTGTGCCGGAATGGGGCGGCGGTGCCATGCAAATTGTCCCACTGCGGCCTTCAGTGGGGCTTGCTATTGGGCCACGAAGCGTTTGAGGGGTGTGCCGAAATGGGGCGGCGGTGCCATGCGAACTTTCCCACTGGGGCTTAGGTGGGGCTCCCTATGAGGCCACGAAGCGTGTGATGGGTGTGCCGGAATCGGAAGGCGGTGCCATGCGAACTTGCCCATAAGGGCCTTCGGTGGAGCTCCCTGTGGGGCCACGAAACGTGTGAGGGGTGTGCCGAAACGGGGCGGCGGTGCCATGCAAATTTTCTTATTGGGGCCTTCGGTGGAGCTCCCTGTGGGGCCACGAAACGTGTGAAGGGGTGCGCCGAAATGGGGCGGCGGTGCCATGCGAACTTTCCCACTGGGGCCTTCGGTGGGGCTCGCTTTGGGACCGCGAAACGTGTGAGGGGTGTGGCGGGATCGGAAGGCGGTGCCATGCGAGCTTGCCCACAAGGGCCTTCGGTGGAGCTCCCTGTGGGGCCACGAAACGTGTGAGGGATGTGCCGAAATGGGGCGGCGGTGCCATGCGAACTTTCCCGCTGGGGCCTTCGGTGGAGTTCCTTATGGTGCCACGAAACGTGCGAGTGGTGCGCCGAAATGGGGCGGCGGTGCAATGCAAATTGTTCCACTGGGGCATTCGGTGGGGCCCCCTATGGGGCCACGAAACGTGTGAGGGGTATGCCGAAATGGGGCTACCGTGCCATGCAAATTGTCACATTGGGGCCTTAGGGGGAGATCCCCATGGGGCCACGAAGCGTGTGAGGGGTGTGCCGAAATGGGATGGGCATGCGGAGAGCAGAGGCAGGGAGGGGAGGAGGGAAAAGGAGGAGGAGGGGGAGAAGGAGGAGGGTGAGGAGGAAGGAAGGAGGAACGCGGGGCGCTGTCTCTTCAGAACGAGGACTCAACACCACAGGATGGTTGGGAACAAAACAACAGGACCGACTCGAGACCGTCCCAGACGCCCCCGCGAGCGCTCCAAGATGCGCCAAGATGGCATCAAGAAGAGCCAAGAGCCCCCCAAGTCGCCCAAAGAAGGCTCCATGAGGCCCCTCCAGAGGGCCCATGTGCTTCATGTGCCGACGGAACATGAGCAGAAACACGCCTTACCAGTGTTAAAGAGCCTGCAGGATGCAAAGGCGCTCGCAGTGCCTTCTCACAAGTGGAGGAACCTGAGCGCGAACAGGGTCTCCAGAAGTCTGACGCGCTGGCAATGCTGAGTGCTGGTTTCCGTTCAATCAATTTTTCAATGCGAAGCATTCGTTATAATTATAATATGTTTGGTTACGGCAGTTGATGTTACGCACACTCGCGCCTAGGCGTGTCAGATTGCTGGGCCGTCTTGCAGGTGAGCTCCGCTTGCGGACAGCTCAGCATTTTATATCAGAAGCTGGTGTCTCGTGATCCTCTCTGTTCCGCCCTCCTCTCTCGTATCCCTTTTGATTTTTCAAGGAGGTCTGCAGGTGCTGACCGTTTTGCAGGTGCTGCGCAGGAGAAGCAACACAAAACGAGCAGGAACGACTCGAGACCGTCCCAGACACCCCGCGAGCGCTCCAAGACGCGCCAAGATGGCATCAAGAAGAGCCAAGAGCCCCCCAAGTCGCCCAAAGAAGGCTCCATGAGGCCCCTCCAGAGGGCCCCAAGAGGCGAACACCGCCCCATTCCAGAGGAAAACGTACATTTTCAGCATGTACGATTTTCGGGTTTCCACAGCGTCGTCGACGACCCAAGCGGCCCCCAACACCGCCCCAAGATGGCCCAAGAGGCCCACAAGAGAGTTCCAAGACGGCCCCAGAGAGCCCCAAGACGGCCCAAGAGGTGCCCAAGACGGCCACAACAAGGCCAAGAGGGGTTCAAGATTGCCTGGGGAGGATGTCTCAGGCGATAGTTGCAATTTGGAAAATTCGACGACTTCGCAAGCTCCCCGAACACCTCCTTTTTTGAGGACGTAGTTTGCGAGAGGTACATGAGTCTTAAACCAGCTTTTTCGCAATCGCAGCTTTCGAGGATGTCTCGGGCGAAACGTAGATGTTTGAGAAGACTACGAATCCGCGAGCTCCCTGTGCATTTCAAATGATCGAGGATATCTCGAGCGAGAGCTTCATTCCCCCAACAGCTTGTTGTACATATGCCTTCCCTAACATGTATCAGACTATATCCCCATGTCTCGGCCAGAGTTAATTGTACCCTCCGCGTATTAATCTCATCCTACGTTCGTCTGGATCCCTCATCTTATATTTGAAATCAGACCGTCCCAGTTTGGCCAGTATCGATTCCCCCGCCATCCCTGTCAAGCTACAACATACGGTGCACTAGCGTTGATGTAACAAGTGCGTTGTACGTTGATTTTCTTCGAACGTAATACCATGTTGGCCACGCGCGCGCGACCCTAGTGCGTGGATGTCGAAATCACTCCCAAACGATAGGCTCGTTATTTCGCATTTTCCGATGGAACTCTTCTAGCGCATGTGAGACGCACATGACTCGCAATAGCAAGACATGTTAGGCTTTCTACGAGCGCGCACCTTCTAAAGTACTGAAAAAGCATCGGTTCCCTGGAATCCCTGCCGGGAAAGACAATTATGGCCAAAGGCAGTGCACACTTGCTGATGTATATACAAGTGGCACGTGTGTGCCCAGGCTCATACAACAAACTGAAGGGGCGTTTGAAGCAGGAGTGAAATGCAACATCGAAGTCGCACTCGAGCGCAAGTGGGGTTGCCACACCTTGCGATGTGTGTACCAGGGCCCCCGGGAAGCCTTAGGAGGCCCGACTTGGATACCAGAAGAGGCTCCAGGAGGCCCCAGGATTGTGAGTGTTGTGCGTGTGTGTGTGTGTGTGTGTGTGAGTGTGTGTGTGTGTGTGTGCGTGTGCGTGTGCGTGTGCGTGTGTGTGTGTGTGTTTGTGATGTATGCTTCGTGTGGTGCGTGCTTTTTGTGTGTTGTAGGTGTTGTGTGTGTGTTATGTTTGTCTAGCGTGTGATGTGTTGGGCGTGATTTGTGTCTCTGTGTGCATGTAGTTCTGAAGCCCCAGGAGGCCCCAGGAGGCCCCAGGCGGCCTCAGGAGGCCCCAGGAGACCCCAGGAGGCTTCAGGAGGCCCCAAGAGGCTCCAGGAGGCCGCAGGAGGCCCCAGGAGGCCCCAGGAGGTTTCAGGACACCCCCAGGAGGCTCCCAGGCGGGGTCTGGGGTGCCAGAAGGTTCAGAGGCCCCCAGGAGGCTCCGAGGCGGGGTCTGGGGCTCGATTTTGGAAGGATTTTTCGAGCGAAACCGCCATTTACTGAGAATCGGGATCACAATTATTGAAATTACCATGTGTTTTTGAAGGTTTTATGTTAAAATTGTGAATTTCCCATGTGTTTTTGGACCCTGACGTCGCGGTCTGCGTGAGGGGTGCCACCGATTTTCAGAATTTCGAGGATGTCCCGAGCGAAACGCCCAGAAAAATCGCGGACGCGTGCGCATTAATCGCCTCTGAGCTCTACTCCCTCGGAGAGGTGCGTATGATAATATATACATATAACGGCGCACCGGGTCCGGGGGCCCGGGGCCGGGACCCCGACCACAAATGTGGGCCCCGGGGGGCCCGGAGGCTCGTCGGGGCTTGCCGGAGGCCTCCCCAGTCAGACAAGACGGCCCAAGAAGCGCCCAAGACGGCCCAAGAAACTTCCAAGAGGCCTCCAAGAGGGCTCCAAGATGCTGAAGATGGCCTCCAGACGTCCAAGGACGCCCCCAAGACGCCCCAAGAAGCCTCCAACATGCGTCCCAAGAGGGCCCCTAGACGCAAACATTGGCCCATTCCCTTCGTAAAACGTACATTTTTCACAAAGTTGTTTTTTGGGCTTTCCGACGTTACAGGACGGCCCACGAGGCGCCCAAGACCGCCCCAAGACGGCCCAAGAAGCTTCCAAGAGGGCCCAAGGACAGCCCAAGAGGGCCCCAAGACGGCCCAAGAGGCGCCCAAGATGGCCCAAGAGGGCCCCAAGACGGGCCCAAGAGGGGGCCCAGAGGGGGACCACGAACCGCAAGCTCGAGCCTTCCGCCCCAAGAGGCCGCCAGGAGGCCCCAAGGAGGCCCCTCAAGAGGCCCCAGGAGACCCCCAAGAGGCCCAAAGGAGGCCCCGAGAAGCCCCAAATCGGCCCCCAAGATGCTTCGAACCTGCTTCCAGGAGGCCCCCGACAGGTTCAGAGGCTCCCGAGAAGCTACGTCAAACTCCCAGCGAGAATGATCCTAGCTAGAACTTAAGCGCGCGCGAAGCGCGCGCGTGGTTCTAGTATATATGTATATATATATATATATATATATATATATATATACACACGTGTGCGTACGCATACATGCATACATACATACATGCATGCATGCATACATGCATGCATGCATGCATGCATACATGCCTACATACATACGTACATGCATACATACGTACATACATGCATGCATACATGTGTATATACACCTATCTACATATGTCAATATTCATAGAATTCGTATGTATATCTTCAGGCCTTCGCCCTCTGCCGCCGGTCCCCTATTGCCAGAACGGGCGGCTGCGCGGTGGTCTCCTTGGGGCCTCTTGGGGGCCTCCTTAGGGCCTCTTGGGGGCCTCTTAGGGTGTCCTTGGGGCCTCTGGGGGGTATCCTCGGGGCCTCTCGGATACACTATATGGGGTCTCTTCGGGGTCTCCTTGGGGCCTTTGGGGGGCCTCTTGGGGGCCTCTTGGGGCCTCTGGGGGCCTTCTTGGGGCCTCCTGGGGCCACCTTGGGGCGGAAAGGTAGAGATTTCGGTTCGTGGATTCCCTCTTGGGCCTCTCTTGAGACCGTCTCTTAGGGCGTCTGGGACGCCTCTTGGACCGTCTTGGGGCCCTCTTCGACCGTCTCGGGGTCGTCTTGGGGGCCTCTCTGGCCGTCGTGGGGGCTTCTAGGGCTGTCGTGGGGCGATCTTGGGGACCTCTTGGTACGTCTCGGAGCGTATGAAGCCGAAAAGGCGAGAAGGTCAAAAACCTTCAAAAAGGTTAGGAACATCGTTGATGTTTGCTTCGTGGGGCCCTCTTGGAAGGTTTTGGAGGCCTCTTGGACCGTCTTGGGAGCATCTTGGGCCGTCTTGGGGCCATCGTGGGACATCTTGGGGCTTTCTTGGACCGTCATGGCCTCCTGAGGCTCTCCTCGGAGCCTCGTCGGGTAATCTTGGAGGCCTCTCGGGCCTTTCTGGCCGCGCGGTGGCGTCACCATGAGAATCCTGGAGTGGCCCCGAGCAGCCTGGACTTGAGGTTCACCCCCTCGCTGGCTGTTTGGTGGCGCGGCGGGGCCCCTTGGAAGACAGTAAACAGGAGGCAGGAAACAGGACTGGAGAGACGAAAAGCCAAACAACACATGACAATCCATAACACATGACAGCAGACCGCACACACCTTCGCAGCCTTGCGCCGCTGGAGGGGGCCGGCGGATGTATGTATGATTCTGTAGTGACATATATATATATATATACATATCCTATTTCATAATAGATTATATGTGTATGTAAACACACATTCGGCCTTGTCAAACAATACAACGTGGTCACGCCGGCTCGAGCGCCCAAGCCGAAAGCATTCAGCGACCTTTCGTTTTCAAGCATGTCAGTATATATCTTACCAAGAACATATGGTCATTATCCTGGCGACGGACCCACAGCTGTGCAAGTGTGAGTGCCCCGAAGCAGATGAGAAGAGAAGTGAAACGAGTAAAGGGAGTAGGATGTGGATGAAGCCACGCAGCGCGTGAGGCGTGTGCCGAGACGGGCAGATGTACAAGGGGACCGTAGGTGAAGCTCCCAATGGGGCCGCAATGCGTTTGAAAGGTGCAAGAATCGACTGGGCGACTCTATGCTGACATGCCCACTGGGGCCGTAGGTGGAGCTCAATTGGGGGCCACGAAACGCGCGAAGGGTGCGCCGAAATGGTGCCGCCCAGCATGCAGGCATCGTCACTGGGGTGATACGTGGGGCTCCGTCTGGGGCCACGAAGCTTTGAGGGGCGTGCCGAAATTGAGCCCACCAGCATGCGGACATACTCACGTAAGCCTTCGGTTGAGCTCCAAGCGGGTCCACGAAATGTGCGAGCGGTATCCCGAAGTGCAGCCGCCCGCCATGCGGACAGGCCCACTGGCGCCGTGCGTTGCTCCAAACGGGTCCACGAAGCGCGTGAAGGGTGTGCAGAAGTGGGCGCGGTGCCCTTACACGGGCACCCATCACCAGGGCCATAGGGGTGGATGTCCCCAGAGGGGGCACGAAACGCGCGATGGATGTGTTCAAGTTTGGGTGGGGGGGCCCTCGGGCGCCCTCCCCGCGGCGGTTGGCGGAGCCCCCTGAGCACGGCAGCGAATGTGCGAGGGGCGTGCCGGAATGAGCACGATGCCGCTATCCGGGCGCCCTCACTCGGGTGTTGCTAGAAGTGCCCCTGGGCCAAGGTGCCCCCAGGATTCTCGGGGTAGCCCAAGCGGCTTCCAAAGCACCCCTCACGAGGCCCAGAGGGCCC